AAATTGCACATCTCTTCCCTCTCTTATTCCCACTCTTATATTTAACAGCGATCACTTTTCAGTTAAGTTTCAGCACATAAGAAGAATTGTGTATTGATTACAGTATTCAACCAAAAGTACTAAGTAGAACAAACAAAAAAAAATACTAAGAGGGATCAAGCTGACTTACCTCAAATGGTAGAGTTAGAAACATACCAGGGGATTCCAATTCAATCCCATCAAGGTGGCATGTACCAATGCCATCTCACTAGTCCCAGTGATCAATTTCTGTTCACAATTGATCATAATGATAGGACTAAGAACCAAAGGGATCACATAAACAAGAATAGTGTCTGCAAATACTAGCTGATAGAATCAAAAAGGGAGAGAATGATCCAACATGGGAAGTGAGATACACAGCAGACCCATAGAATGGCAAATGTCCTAACGGCACTCTGGCCTCATAATCAGCCCTTAAGGCATGCGGATCCGGCTGAAAAGCCCATGAGAGTATTTCAGGCATGGAAAGCCAAGACACTCTGGCAAAAAAAAAAAAAACCAAAAAAACAAAAAAACAAAAAAAAAACCTAAATGAAAGATCTCCGCAAGTGAGATCCCAGTGGAAAGAATGGGTCATCAAAGAAGGAGGTACCTTTCTCTGAAGGGAGGAGAGAACTTCCACTTTGACCATGGCCTTGTCTAAATATGATCAGAGTCGGTGAACTCGGGGGGGCTTCCATAGCCTTGGCAACTCATGACAAGAGCCTAGGGGGATTACTGATGCCAGAAACAAGAGTGTCAATTTGTTAAGTCAACAACAGGAGTCACTGTGCACCTACTCCTCATGTAGCATCTCTGTCCTAAATGTGTTGTACATTGTGATTTAATGCTGTAACTAGTACTGAAACAGTATTTTACACTTTGTGTTTCTGTGTGGGTGCAAACTGTTGAAAGCTTTACTTAATATATGCTAAACTGATCTTCTGTATATAAAGAGAAACGAAAATGAATCTAGATGTGAATGGAAGGGGCGAGGGAGTGGGAGAGGGGAGGGTTGCGGGTGGAGGGAAGTTATGGGGGGGGCTATTGTAATCCATAAGCTGTACTTTGGAAATTTATATTCATTAAATAACAGTTTAAAAAAAAAGAAGGTTTTTTTAAGTTAAAAATTTATTTTTATTTTATTTGAAAGGCAGAGAGACAGATCTTCCACTAATTCACTCAGCCAATGTTCACACATAGCCAGGGCTGGGCCAGGCGAAAGCCATGAGCTTAAAACTCCAGCTGGTCTCCCATGTGGGTGGAAAGGACCCAAGTACTGAGCCATCATCTGCTGTCTCCCACTGTGTGTATAAGCAGAAAGCTGCATCATAGTGGAGTAGCCAGGACTCAAACCAGGGAATGTGAGTGTCCCAAGCAATGATTTAACTGCTGTACCACAAACCCACCCCCAGAAGTAAAAGTTATATAGTGAGCAAAGTATTGCATTTATGTGTTTAAGGGTTACTTTGGGGATGATTTTTGTCAGGAATAAAATTTTAGAAGAAAACAATGTCTAATTAAAATGGAAAAGATAATAAAAATTCACCAAACAAAATGAATAGGAATTATGGCTGAGCCTCCTAGACAGTGATTAATGTGTGCAAAGCCAGTGCAGTAGAAGGATGTACTACTTTGAAATTGCTAATATCTGAAAGGGGTGAAAGGATCAAACTGGTGATGAGGGACCAGCACCCTGGCTCGCTTGGTTAATCCTCCGCCTGCGGCACCGACATCCCATATGGGCACCGGGTTCTAGTCCCGGCTGCTCCTCTTCCAGTCCAGCTATCTGCTGTGACCCGGGAAGGCAGTGGAGGATGGCCCAAGTGCTTGGGCACCTACACCTGCATGGGAGACCAGGAGGAAGCACCTGGCTCCTGACTTCAGATCGGCGTAGCTCCGGCCATAGCAGCCATTTTGGGGGTGAACCAATGGAAGGGAGACCTTTCTCTCTGTCTCTCTAACTGTCTAACTCTATCTGTCAAATAAATAATAAAAAAAAAAAGTGGTGATGAACTTGGACTTCATCCTATAGGCTATGGAAAGTCATTCAATAGTTATAAACTGGGGAGTGACAGTCAGATTTGGCATTAAACATGTAGACTTTGTAAAAGGGATGTAGAACTTTTATTGACTAGTCATATGAGATAATTTAGAGTAACTTTTTTCTCCTATTTTTACATTTTTCTGGAGAGTAATTGGGGAGATTAATACCAAAGTTTATTTGCTTCAGGGTAGACTATTTGAAATTACAGAAAGAGAGAGAGGGAGAGACAGAGGTCTTCCATTTGCTGGTTTGCTCCCCAGATGGCTGCAACAGCTGGGGCTGGGCCAGGCCAGAGCCAGGAGCCAGGAGTTTTACCTGGGTCTTCCACATGGGTACAAGGGCCTGATCACTTGGGCCATCTTTCACTGCTATCCCAGGCACATTAACAGGGAACTCGACAAGAAGTGGAGCAGCCAAGACTCAAAACTGGTGCCCATATTGGATGTCGGCATTGCAGGCAGTGGCTTTACCTGCTATGCCACAATGCCAGACCCTAAAATGTAACTTTTTAAAAAGCCATAATGTTAATATAATTTTCTTCCTTTCAGGACATGTGAACTTATATATTTAACACAACCCAGCAGTTCGTAAGTAGTTCAGACTATGTTATTTGTCACTTTTAAACAACTGATTTTTCTGGAATAATCTCAGTGATATTTGATATGTTGCAGCATGCTACTCTATGAGTAAAGTTATAGACTTAAGTTCTGTGTAATTTATTATTTTTCTCACAAAGCAAATGATTTGAAATGTATGCCCTATGTGTACCACAAGGCAAGAATAAGGTGGAAATTGATTCACTACCAATGTATCACCAACATTTTTAGGGGAAAAAATGCAAGTTCATTGGCTGAATCTTTATTGGCAATCTGTTATAGGTATTTTATTAAAGGCTCAGAGCATAATTTGTGAAAGAATAAGTACAGTGCAGTGGCTGCAGACCGCCTCCTCCTTCATAGTAATGCAGCCTGTTTCTTGTATGGGTTGTCCTAGGGATACCGAAGACACCCTTTCCCATGGACCTATGTCTGGAGCTGGTCTAATCTAGACTGCAGATAGATGTTCTAGGTGTCTTTTAGAAAGCCCCAGGGCTCGGTGGCCAGGGTTCACATTGGCCAAGCTATCAAGTCCATTTGCACAAAGGTGCAAAACAAAGAGCATGTGACTGAGGCCCTATGCAGGAACAAGTTCAAGTTTCCTGGCCACCAGAAGATCCACTCCTCAAAGAAATGGAGCTTTACTGAGTTTAATGCAGATGCATTTGAAGACTTAATGACTGAGAAATGACTCATTTCAGATGGCTGTGAGGTCAAATACATCTCCAGTCATGGTGCTCTCAACAAGTGGTAAGCCCTGTACACATGAGGGCTTCCATTGTGCTGCCCCCTCTTTATTCATGCAGACAAACAAATCCTACTTCCTTTCCAAAAAAATTTTAAAAAATGTGAAGGCCTTTATTAAAATTTCTAAATTATTATTTTTTAGTGTATAGTGTATGCTCTGAAGATATACCTATGTAGATAGAGTCCCAGAGTTTTTCTCTGGAAACAAAACAAGTAATACATGAGATTTTCTGCCCTAGTGAAGTAGAAGTAGTGGAAGATGGTCAATAGAAAGGAAAATTATCTTTGTTAATTAATTGATACACAGCTGTTAATTCCAACAAGTGAATAACTGTGGAAAAATTATCAAAGCAGAGTGTTAATTAAATTGGCAAACTATCCAAGTGAATTGAGATAAATTGAGTTCAAATATAAGTTGGGCATTTAAAGTAGATTGTCTTTTATTATGCATTTATCTAAGGTCTCTATTTAAAAAAAAGAAAAAAGAAAAAAATCATCCAAAAGGGATAGTTAAAATTTTTTCATTGTTAAATTGTTTTCTGCTTTCCATTTGTTTACTAGGGTATCTACTGAAATAAATTCTCTGTTGGTGCTAAAAGTTTCTTGGATCACGTTTTTACTAGCTAAAGGTAAATTTGTTTTTGATTATATGCCAATGTCACAAATATAATAATTACATCGACATTCTTTTGGACTAAATGCAAATTTTTTTTCAATTAATACACACACTCCACCCCATCCATTCTCTGTGTGACTTATTCATTGTTAGCAACCCCTTTTTTTTTTTTTAATTGTTTATTTTATTTGAAAGGCAGAGTTACAGAGAGAGAGAGGGAGAGGGAGAGGGAGAGACAGAGAGATCTTCATCCACTGGTTCACTCCCCAAATGTCTGCAATGGCCAGAGCTGGGCCAGTCTGAAGCCAGGAGTCTGGAGCTACTTCTGGGTTTCCCATGGGGGTGCAGGGTTCCCAATACTTGGGCCATCCTCCAATGGCTTTCCTAGGCACATCAACAGGAAGCTGGATCAGAAGTGGAGCAGCCTTTACTTTCCCAAGCACATAAGCAGAGAGCTGGATTGAAGTGGAGCCACTGGGACTTGAACTGGTGCCCATATGGGATGCTGGCACCACAGACCCGCTATGCCACAGAGCTGGTCCTTGTTAGCATGTACTTATAATTCTGGGACTGGAAACAACATTAGAAATATTTCATTTCTGTTTCTAATATTTCCATTCTTTCTCCCTCCCCCTCTTTTAAAAAGAATATTGATGTTACTATTTTCATAAAGATATTTGATAAATAATTCAGACAATACAACAAAGTATAAAAATTTTCCTAATCCACCCCAGAATAATTATTATTAAATTATGTGATCACTCCAGATAAATTTTTTATGTATGTTCTTAAAAATGTGAACCATTTTTATTCTCAGGAGAGGTATTACAAATGGAAGATGACCTGGTGATCTCATTTCAGTTAATGTTGTGTGTTCTTGACTATTTTATCAAACTCTCACCTCCTGCATTACTCAAAGAACCATATAGTAAGTATTGTAAATAATTTATGCTCCCCTACTTTATTATTCAGCAACTGTTTATTGAATGTCTAGTAGGGCTGGTATGGTTGTAAAGCTGATGTTAAAAAATAAATCAGATATTGGCTCTGCCCTCAAGTAATGGAAGTTCTAAAAGTAAAATAAGACATGTAAGCAAATAATTAGAATATATGGTAGAAAGTGATGTGGGTCAAAGTATGACAACTGCTCTGGGAGCTCAGGATATAAGAAAGTATTCTGAAATGTTGAAGACCAAGGAATACCATATAAAAGAATTGGTATTTGAAATGAGTGTTGAAGAGTAGTTAATACTGGAAGTGGTATTCTTAGTAAAGAATAGCAAAAACCAAGATGAAGATATGAGCAAATTTATATGGGAAAGAGTGGCTCATTCCACAAGATCAATTTAACTAACTTTTTATTTGTACTGTATAACTATGTGTCTAGTTTTTTTTTTGGTACATAAAATGTAATTAATACTACTTTAGTGGATGATTACAGAGATGAGAAGTGTACTTAGATATTAAATAATTAGATACCATTAATCTATCTGTATATATTCCTCTTAGACCAAAATTGCATTCTTTGGTGGCCCCATATGCAAAGCAGAGGAAAAACTATATCAATAGTATACTTCAAAATTTTCTTGCACTTAAAATTTTTTCTTTATATACCTTTTCTTCACTTTTTTTCAATGCTGTAACTTTAATAAGTTGATGTAATGTTTGCTTTAGCTTAACAGTCTTTGTTCTTTTGGATAAGTCAGATCTTTAAAAGCTGTGTTAAAGAGAAACCAGGCTGAGGTATTGAATTGACTGAATGTGGTAAACTTTTAACTTTTGTTATAGAGAATTTCAAAAGAATACAAAAGTAGATATCACCTAGCTTGACATGTTTTAGGGTCAATCTGTAGCCTTATCTCTCCTGCCCAATTCCCCCAGTTTGTCCGTCCGTCCTTCCTTCCTTTCTTTTTCTTTTCTTTCTTTTCTTTTCTTTCCCTCTTTCTTTATTTCCTTCCTTCTTTCCTTCCTTCCTATCTTCCTTCCTTTTTCTTGTTTTATTTATTTATTTGAGAGTTACAGACAGAGATAGAGAGATAGAGAGAGAGAGGTCTTCCATCCACTGGTTCACTCTAGGGAGTGAATGGCCACAATGGCAGGAGCTGGGCAATCCAGAGCCAGGGCTTCTTCCAGGTCTCCCACGCAGGGACCCAAGATTTTGGGCTGTCTTCCACTGCTTTTCCCAGGCTATAAGCAGGAGGCTGAATTGGAAGAAGAGCAGCTGGGACTTGAACTGGCACCCATACGGGATGCTGGCAAAGCAGGCAGAGGCTTAACCAACCACACCACAGTGCTGCTGCTCCCTCATCTATATTATTTTGAACCACATGTTTGTATACCATGTCCTCTTTTTGTATTTCAGTACTTATCTCTAAGAGGTAAATATTTTTTAAACAGTGTAATGACAACACCATTTTCACAGGTAATATCAAGTAATCATAATTTCTTAATATCTTAAGTCTTTATTTCCTTCCTTCTTTCCTTCCTTCCTATCTTCCTTCCTTTTTCTTGTTTTATTTATTTATTTATAAGTGTATATCTGATATCTAATAAGTGTACAGATTTTCAATTATAATATCATTGTAATATCAAAATGTTTTTATAGGTTGACTCAATCAGAGTTTAAATAAAATCTACCTTTTGATTAGCTGATAAAAGTTCCTCTTCCAACTCTTGTTTTCCTTTTTTCTCCCATTCACATTTTGTTTATTAAATAATCAGATGGGTTGTCCCACTAAGCTCCCCACAGTCCAGCTTTTGCTGATTATATCTTATGTTATAATTTAACATGTTTCTTTGTCCTCTTAGTTTCCTTTAAGTTACTGGTTGGGTTTATGGCAATAAATATTTTTTTATACTTAATCATCTGTAATCTTTAACAGCTGACTGTGTTTTCAGTTTGAATTGGGAATGCTCAAAATAATATGTGGGATTTTTAAAAGTCACAAATTTATTAAATTTATATATCCATCTTTTATAGACATCATCTTTCACTAAAACTATATTTTTATACTGAAGCTAGGAATTGAACCCATAAATATTTTCTCATTTTAAAAAGTAAGATTGAAAATATTATTTAAAAAGATTTATTTATTTGAAAGGCAGAGTGACAGAGAGAGAAAGACAGAGAAAGAGTTCTTCTGTTGGCTGGTTCACTCACCAAATGCCTGTGACAGCCAAGGCTAAGCCAGACTGAAACCAGGAGCCAGCAGCTGCGTCAGGGTGTCACCACGTGGGTGACAGGAACCCAATGACTTGGGCCATCATGTACTGCCTTCCAGGCACAGAAGTCAGAAGCTGGATTGGAAGCACAGAGTAGCTTGTACTCAAACCAGGCACTCCAATATGGTTTGTGAGCTTCCCAAGCAACTTCCTAACCCACTGTGCTACAATACCTGCCCCAGAAAGCACTTTTTCCTCTTGTAGACTAAGTAGGATACACTTAGAATTAATTTATAAATGGGCTGTTTGCCAGCTTTCTCTTTGCATTTGTTTCTAAGACTAGGTATTTTATATTTCTGTCTGGGCTATTTGGGGACAGAAGGAAATAGGGATATAAAAACAAATGTCAATTCTTATATGTACATAACCAATAAATGGATAAAATTTTTATCCTTCTAATGATGCCTAATAAATAAAAGTAAGATGCTGCCAAGATTATTTATGACTTTCCAAATTATAATTACAGTGCTTCATTATTTTGTATGGTAGAGTGTGCAGGTATTCTTATCTAATTTACTATTTTTACAGAAACAGCTGTAATACCTGTTAATGGTTCACCTCGAGCACCCAGGCGAGGGCAAAACAGAAGTGCCCGGATAGCAAAACAGCCAGAGCAAGATACAAGAATTATTGACATGCTCTGTAAAGAACATGATTGTAATATAGATGAGGTAACTTAACTTCATGGTTTCTTTAAAACATTTCAAGTAGATTTCGATGTTAAGTTCTTCTTAGCAGTATCTGTTTCTTTTGTGATGAGCGTGCTTTGTGCCAACTGTTACAGTAGCAAACATTTAGAAAAAGTTTTAGTTCTCATACTCAGTTACTTGGATTTTTCTTAAAAGATTTATTTTACTTATTTATTTATTTATTTGAAAGGCAGAATGACAGAGAGAGAGAGTCCATCTATCTTTCAACTACTGATTCACTACCCAAAAATGGCTGCTACGGCTGGCGCGCTGCGCCGATCCAAAGCCAGGAGCCAGGTGCTTCCTCCTGGTCTCCCATGGGGTGCAGGGCCCAAGCACTTGGGCCATCCTCCACTGCACTCCCGGGCCACAGCATAGAGCTGGACTGGAAGAGGAGCAACTGGGACAGAATTTGGCACCCCCACTGGGACTAGAACCCAGGGTGCCGGTGCTGCAGGTGGAGGATTAACCAAGTGAGCCGCGGCGCCGGCTATTTACTTTGATTTTTAAAGAGAATAGTTTCCTTGCTCTGGAGCCACTGAAATGTGTATCTCCAAGACAGTAGTTTTAAAATGTATTTGTTCTTTGATTCTTCTGAGGTTACCGATACCCCTAATGTTTTAAAATAACCTACCAAGAAAACCCTGGTGTTTTGGTTTAGTGGTGATTCCAACATTAAATTTCTGTTCGACTATCCATAACTGCTCTCATTCTAAATATTACACTAGATGTTAGTGGTTGTAGAGAATAAATATGGATGCCTAGGAATTACTTTCCTCTTTCATAAAATTTGAAACAGAATTAGGAGGAATCCTACAAATAATATAATCTACCTCCTTTCAGTAATGAGTAAATGAGTTTCCAGAGACACATTATGACCAGAGTATACACTATACTTTGGGACATCCAGTGCTCGCTTCGGCAACACATATACTAAAATTGGGACATCCAGTACTAGTGCTCCTATCATTCTATCATGTTGTTTTCTCACGGTATGTTATATTGTCCATAATTTATTATGACCAGATACCAGTAAGAACTATTGCATCTTTGAACTTTCTCTGTCAATTCTGGGAAAGAAAGGGATATAGCCCCAAAATCTAGTAAAAGAAGCAGTAAAATGATTTATCAAAATATCTGTGCTTCAATATTGCAGCTGTTATCAATGTCAACAAACCATAAATACAGTTAAATGATAAATTTATCAACTATATATATACTTTTACTTTTCTTGAATCATAATTTATCTTTGCAAATATGCCAATGAATGTAATAGAAATATTTATTTTTATTATAATTCTGTCTCTTAGTCACAATATAATAAATAGTAGTAAATAACATTTTTCTGGTTTCTGGTTCTTAAATCTCTGGATTTCAGAGCTACTTGTGAAATTTCATTTTAAAGATAGGAAATCTTTCATTTTAGAAACATTAAAAACATTTCATTTCTTAGAATTTAGAATCTTTATAACTGATTTTAAATTTTTTTTTTTTTTTTTTTGACAGGCAGAGTGGACAGTGAGAGAGAGAGACAGAGAGAAAGGTCTTCCTTTGCCGTTGGTTCACCCTCCAATGGCCGCCGCGGCCGGCGCGCTGCGGCCGGCGCACCGCGCTGATCCGATGGCAGGAGCCAGGAGCCAGGTGCTTTTCCTGGTCTCCCATGGGGTGCAGGGCCCAAGCACCTGGGCCATCCTCCACTGCACTCCCTGGCCACAGCAGAGGGCTGGCCTGGAAGAGGGGCAACCGGGACAGAATCCGGCGCCCCGACCGGGACTAGAACCCGGTGTGCCGGCGCCGCTAGGCGGAGGATTAGCCTAGTGAGCCGCGGCGCCGGCCTAGAATCTTTATAACTGATTTTAAATGATAGTTGGTTAAAAGGCTTAATGATGTCTTAATTAATTGAACTTATCTATGTATATATTTATGATTATGTAACTATCGATTAGTCATACTAATTATTTAATTGCAAATACCCACTTTATATACTTTTAAGTAAATTGGAGTTAGTTTGAAAACAAAACTAAGTATTTCAGAGACTTAATTCTTACAACTTATTTGTGAACAGAAAGTAGGAAATGATATTAACTTATTCACACTTTAATAAATGTATTTCCCAGTTTGGAAAAGGAAATTAAATAAAGAAAAGCAAGTTGCTTAAATATCTATAATGTATTCCAAGGGTAGAACAGCTGGACTAGCCCCAGATTTTCTGAGTATGGTTTTGTTTATTTGTTTATTGTTTTTTACCCATTTTAACTGTAGAGTGCTTTTGAAAGAAACAATGCATAATCCAACAGGACATTTTTATTTGGTTTTGGATTGAATTATTCATTAATTTTGTGTGTGAAATTATTTTCATGCATTTGTGTTTAACAAAATTCCCTGAACAGATACCAGATGATCAGATGACATGCTTTGGGGAGAAATCAGAGGCATTGTAGAGAAGTGAAAAGAACTTTGGCTTTGATGATAGAAAGATTGGATTTTTTTTTTTTTAAGAATTATTTTATTTATTTGAAAGACAGAGTTACAGAGAGAGGTAGAGACAGAGAGAGAGGTCTTCCATCCACTGGTTTACTACCCAGATGACCGCAATGGCCAGAGCTTCTTCTGGGTCTCCCACGTGGGTACAGGGGCTCAAGGACTTAGGCCATCTTCTACTGCTATCCTAGGCCATAGCAGAGAGCTAGATTGGAAGAGGAGCAGCTGAGACTCGGAACCGGTGTCCATGTGGGATGCTGGTGCTTCAGGCCAAGGCTTTAACCTACTGTGCCACAGCGCCGTCCCCAGATTGGATTTTAATTCTACTCTGCCACCTTGTAGCTGTGCAACTTTAGTCAAGTTGTGTTTTTTTTTTTTTAGTATTTTGATATGTATTTTGATATATATTGACATGTATACAAAATATGTATATTTTGATATATATATCAGAAATATATATCTTTTTATCATTTGTTAAATATGGTATGTTGAAATTGGTTTGCAAGTTCTGTTTCCATAAATTCTGTTTCATTAACAGTTCACTTACCTTCATTTTAGGACCTGAAGCCTCTCTCACATGCATTTAAAAAGTAAATAGCTATAAACAAGTAGCACACTCACTCAAGTATGTTATTAATTAAATATCAGTTAATATTTTAATTATAGTATTAATAGTGACAGAGATGAGAGGTTTTTTTTTTCTAAATTTTAATAGTCATGTTGTGACTTTCTCTCTTTCAGGTGAAAAATGTTTATTTCAAAAATTTTATTCCATTTATGAATTCTCTTGGAATTGTTGCTTTTAATGGACTTCCAGAGGTAATTTAAAAGAAAACAATAAAAAAAATAATGTTCTGAGACTGAGTAGGGAAGATAGTTGTCTAGGTTTCTTCAGGTTAATTTACTATATATCCAGCATTTTTTGTCCATGGAAAGGAGTTTAGCTAAGTAGATTTGTGTATAGTAACAAAAAAACTTTTCAATATATATTCAGATGTATAAATATGCATCATTTTGTGATTTATATTAGAAATTGATATTTACTGAAATCTTTCAAAATTCAAAGTCTAGGCTTTTAAATGCCTGTGTCATTAAATATTGAAATGAAATGTTGCACAAATATATACAATCAAATTTGCTTCTTATTTGCTTTGTGATACATCATCAAACATAGGGTCTGTGATTAATGCCATCAGCCTATTGTCATTGCTGAACAACATTTCTTTTTGAGTATTTTTTTTAAAGATTTATTTTATTTGTTTGAAAGAGTTACAGAGAGAGGTTGAACCAGAGAGAGAGAGAGAGAGAGAGAGAAAGAGAGAGGTCTTCCATTTGCTGGTTCACTCCCCAAATGGCTGCAAGGGCCAGAGCTGAGCTGATACAAAGCCCAGAGCTAGGAGCTTCTTCTGGGTCTCTCACACAGGTGCAGGGGCCCAAGCACTTGGGCCATCTTCCACTACTTTCCCAGGCCATAGTAGAGCGCTGGATTGGAAGTGGAGCATCTGGGACTCAAACCAGAGCCCATATGGGATTCCGGCACTGTAGGCCAAGGCTTTAACCCACTGTGCCACAGCACTGGCCAATTTTTTTGAGTATTTTTAAAAACTATTTAATTGAAATAAATTTGGCAAAATGATTTTGTGTTACAGAAATATATTTTACAATAGTGGTGCACTCTACCTGTTTCTTTCACATTTTGCCACAAAAGTCTTTTTGATGAAAGCAGAATAATTGAGAACTTTGTGGGGGTAAGGTGGACTATGTAAAGGAAAAGATGCTGTGATAACTGATAAAGAACAAGTACTCAGTGATAAAGCAGTGCTTTAGAAGTACCTCGTTATAGCTACCCAAGCCAAAAAGCATGAGATCAGGTAGACAGACCGCTGATTCTGTTATCTAAATTGGTATCTAGTTTTCGAATTAGTTTAATGTTTCATTTTAGAAACATTAAAAACATTTCATTTCTTAAACAATATTGTTTACTGTGTGCCAGGCATTATGTTAGATACCATGAATAGAGACTTCATCTCAGTCACTGTCCTGAAAGTACTAATGGAAAAGGTAAAGAAATGGAACATTATAAGAGTTTAAGAGTCTGATTGAAGTATGAGGATGCATGCACAGACTTTTGTGATATCTCAGTGGGCTACCTAATCCAAACTGGGGCAGAGAGATTTTGTGGAAAATTGTCAGGAGGTGATGTGATTTTTATGAAAGACATTTCCAGGGTGTAAACATTGTCAAATCAACAGCACAGTGATTTTGTTAGTATTTTCTGTTAAGTGAAATCCAAGTAATTCATTAAGATTGGGATACAGGCCATAAGAGGTGTCAGATATGGTATTGGAGAGGCAAGAACTGTTTGAATATTAGCATTTGGCTAAAGAAAAAAAAATACTATTCACAACTCTAAACAATCTTACACACTTTGCTTTTCCAGGAACAGTGGGAAAATATCTAAGATTGGCAATAAATCATGCAGGTGTGTTAATTGGGTTAACTTATTGAGCTAATTCTCTTGCCTAAGATTCTTAACCAAATGAAGCTGGAGTGAACCAAAGGGTTTTAGAAAAGATTGGCAGAATATATAATTAAGAGAATTTGCTATGATGTTTGGGAACAACCCTTTATTTTATATGGATAAATTAATAAGAAGATTCAAAGTGAAGGATATGTGAGATGTTTGGAGAATCTTAGCAATTAAGTGGTTATAATACCTATTTTTGTCTTTAGTACTGATCTGATGACCCTTGCCTACATAGATTTCTACATACATGAAATGCATATATAAAATACATTTAAAATTGAAGTTGAAAACTTTTATCATTTTCTATACTTCATTTTTAGATAGGCCTTAAATATTGCATGTGAGTATCTATTGTAAAATGGCATATTTATTATACAAAAATTCTTCAATAAGTTTGTGTTCCTGTATGCTAAGAGACATAACATGAAAAAGATGATTGTATTTTTTCTTTTGAGGTTGAAAGTCTCTCTAAACGATATGAAGAAATTTATCTTAAAAACAAAGATCTAGATGCAAGATTATTTTTGGATCATGATGAAACTCTCCAGAATGATCCTTTGGACAGGTTTGCATATAATATATCATTATTTATTGATATGCTTTTGATATAGGTCAATATTGTTTTAGGTGGCTTAAATTGATTTTATTTAACTTAGTGACTTAAATACCATTAATAATAATAAATTACTTTCAAATGCCTTTAAATAAAGAAAAGTATAATATTATTCTAAGCATATAATTTATTAGGATTAAATATGAATTATGTTCAATAACAACTATCTTTATTTTCAGTTAGCTGAATATAATTTGTAAAATGTGCACCAAAAGAAAATATTTGCAATAATAATTTACTGAAGCATTGGTCTCTATCTTTTTTCCATACTTTCATCTACTACTACCTGCCTGGCTCTTTTTTTTTTTTTTTAATTTGTTTGAAAGGCAGAGTTACAGAAAGAGAGGGAGAAACAGAGATCATCCATTCACTGGTTTATTCCCTAAATGGCTGCAATGGCCAGATTGATTTATTTGAGCTTTGATTTTTTTAAATACTGAACAACTTGGTTATTAATACTATCAGGAAGAAACCACTTAATTTTCCCTTTCAAAAAATAATGAATGATGTCCCTGTTTGTCATGAGAAGAGGTCTATACTAAAAAACAATGGTGTGAAAAACCTTTTATTTATTTAAACGGCAGTTGGATCATGTATTTACTATCATTTTTATTATTAATCTGTCATTTTGTATGATGTTATGAAGCAACAGGAAGTATTATGTTTTTGACTTATAAACCACAAACTGTAAATTTTCAGTAAAATGACTTTGTTTATCGTTTTTTAGTTTTGAATTGCAGAGAACACCACGAAAAAATAATCCTGATGAAGAAGTAAATGTGATTCCTCCACACACTCCAGTTAGGTATGAATTTCCCTATCTTTCATTTTCATTGTAATTATTCAGTGCTTTGTAGTGTTGCAGATTTGTTCATTTGCTTCATTATATATTTGTACACATATACAACAAATAAATATTGAATGTGCTTTGTGTGCCAGGTGGTTTACTAGTTGCTGATAGTATGGTTATTAAACCTAGCTTTATCTGCCCTCAGTTTTCATTACTGAAATGGGAGTGTGTTCCATCTTAGTAAACAAAAAAGAAAAAATATATATCACATTTTATCTACATATAACCTTGCAGAACTATATTGTCTGTCCTTTTTCTCATTCACTTCTCACATCTAACTATGTTGTCAAGTCTTGTTGAATATACCTCCAAAATATATTTTTAAATATTTATTTATTTATTTATTTGAAAGTCAAGAGTTACAGAGAGGCAGAGGCTGAGAGAGAGGTCTTCCATCCACTGGTTCACTCCCCAGATGGCTACAATCGCCAGAGTTGGGCCTAGCTGAAGCCAGGAAACAGGAGTTTCTTCCCAGCCTCCCACAAAGGGGCAGGGGCCCAAGCACTTGGGTCATCTTCTATTGCTTTCCCAGGCCATACCAGAGAGCTGGATCGGAAGTGGAGCAGCCGGGACTAGAACCGGTGCCCATATGGGATGCCAGCACTGCAGGCGCAGCGTTGCCTGCTACACCACAGTGCCAGTTTCCTCTAAAATATTTCTTAAGTCCATCTACTACTCTTTATTTCTATTCTTACCACTTTTGTTCAAGACATCTTTCTCGTCTTGGGATAGTTCTTTGCAGTAGCCTACTGACTGATCTGACTGCTTCTACTCTCCCTCCTTTCCCATCCTCAGATCTATTCTCCACTGAGCCCAATAATAATATTCTAGATATGTAAATCAGATGATATGTATCCTGCTATTAATACCTGGTGATTACTTCCCATGCAGTTTCCTTAACAATTCCTATAAGATCTTGTATAATCTGGCTTATGTGCCTCTCTGATCTTACTTGTTTTCTTGCTCACTCTGCTTTAGCTACACTTTGGTCTTCTACTTTATTGCATTCTGCAAACTCTTTTGAACTTGAAAACCTTCACACTTGATATTCTGTCTTCTTGAAGCTCTTCTTTTCTTTCTGTGGATTATCAACTGCTATTCTTCCTTAAGGTTCAGCACAAATATTGCATTTTTAAGGTTATATTTCTCCCTGAAGTGTTTTATTATTCTTTCTCATAGCATACTGTTCTATTTCTTCCATAATGTATATCACAATTATAATTATAAATTCATTTGTCTTTGCATATGGTTTTCACCAATACCCACAATATCCTTTCAATTTCATACCATATGAGCTACGACTATTTTTGTTTACCATTTAATAATTAGAACCTAGCCTAATACCTAGTACATAGTAGACAATCATTAATATATTTTAAATGACTATATAGACATGAAACAAATACATTTTCATATTAATATCATAAAAGACTAATGAACAAGTTAATGAGATGGCACAGAAGAATTATGAAGCGATGTTATTGAAATGTTTAGCAGGACAGACATTTTAAGATGTGCAAATAGGGGCTGGCATTGTGGCTTAGTGGGTAAAGCTGCCGTCTGCAATGCTGGCATTCCATATGGGTGCTGGTTCAAGTCCCATCTGCTCCACTTCCAATCCATCTCTCTGCTAATGTGCTCGGGAAAGCAACGGAATATGGCTCAAATGCTTGGGCCCCTGCACCCACATGGGATACCCAGAAGAAGCTCCTAGCTCCTGGCTTCAGACTGGCCCAGCTCCAGCCGTTTAGGGAGTGAACCAGCAGATGAAAGATGTCTCTCTCTCTCTCTCCCTCTCTCTCTCCCTCTCTCTGTAATTCTGCCTTTCAAATAAAAAAAATCTTAAAGATGTGCAAACAGCATGTGCAAAGTAATGGAAGTGTAAAACAACACAGTATATCTAGAACTGTTAGTAGCTCTATGTTGATTGACTGTAAAATAAGAGGATGAAATTGTAGGCATGGAGGTATGGTATTAGACATGAAAGACCTTTTATGGCATACTCAAAGGTTTACACTGTGGCTTGTACATGATACAACTTGTGCTATAAATAGTTATGAAACAGGGATAAGAATTAAAATCAGACTTCATTTTACAGGTGTGCATGGCAATAGTTTGTGAGTAGATGGACTGAGGAGGATAAGACAAGGTGACCCACCTGTCCACTTTTCTCAGTGGTTCTTAACCAGAGGTGCAAATTAGGATAACCTGAGGGTTTTTTTCAAGGTGCACATGCCTAGGTCTTACGACCACAGGCATAGTGAAAATCTCTGGACTGATCTATTGTGATAGTTAAGTTCAGAGATGTAGAAGATCTGAACCAATAGGGTGCTGGTGGGAATGAAGGTTTGATAAATTTTGATGAACTCATATTTAGAATATTATTCTTGGGATACTTATGAAGAGGATATCTGGTAAATGGTATAATGTAAGGCTCTTAAAAATTAGGGGACAGGCCAGCGCCGCGGCTCAATAGGCTAATCCTTCGCCTGTGGCGCCGGCACACCAGGTTCTAGTCACAGTCAGGGTGCCGGATTCTGTCCCGGTTGCCCCTCTTCCAGGCCAGCCCTCTGCTGTGGCCCGGGAAGGCAGTGGAGGGTGGCCCAAGTCCTTGGGCCCTGCACCCCATGGGAGACCAGGAGAAGCACCTGGCTCCTGGCTTCGGATTAGCGTGGTGCACTGGCTGCAGCGCACCGGCCGCAGTGGCCATTGGAGGGTGAACCAACAGCAAAGGAAGACCTTTCTCTCTCTCTCTCTCACTGTCCACTTCGCTCATCTAAAAAAAGAACACAAAAATCATGGTACAAGTAGGGGAAGCTTAAACCGTGAAAATAGATGAGATTGCCTAAAGCAAAGGTTTTTAATGGCAAGCGTGATGGCTAAGGGCCAAACCCAAAAGAATGCTAGCATCTAAGGACTAAATGGAAGTTAGATTCTGAAGAATGAGACGGCCCAGAGAGTTAAGCCAAGAAAAGTCCAAGGAGGGAGGGGGTTTGAGGAAAGAGTGTTTAGGTGTCAAATGCATCAATGAAGTCAAGTATCAGAACAAATGATATGAAAGACAAATGTTTTTTGATTTTAACAGTTGGTCATTTGTGGTTCTAGTCATTGTAGCTGAAATACATCAGTAAGCATAGTCGCACAGGAAAGCCGTATTGCAATATTGTGAGTGAAAGGTAAAAAAGTGTAGCTATAGCTCTGAGGGGCTTAGCTGAGAACACTGAAAATATTTTACTTAATATTTAAGGGCCCTTTCAGCTCAAAACATTCTGAAAATCTTTGCATCATTAAGCAATGTCTCAAATACACTGCTACTCCAAAATTGGAGTGCTCATATTTACTATACATTCTGCCACACACACACACTTGATATTATACAATTAAAAAGATGTAATGATACTGACTTGATTTTATGCTTTGAAAATAGTGATTTTAAAAATTATTCAGGAACTTAGTGCCTTTCTTCTTCAAATATTTCCATAAAGGACAGTCACTTGATTCTTTATTTGAGCTATCAAATATCTTCTTGTTTTTATTCAAAAGTGTTTAGTATTTTCTTGTAATTTTTTGAAAGAATGCCATTTTGATGCCCTTTATTTCTGTTTAATATGAAAATATATAATGCCATTGTCTTTACTCCTAAAAATAGTGTCATTGATTTGACCCATTAGTGTTTTATTGATATGTAGTTTTATTAGTAAATATCAGTTCTGTAATTATAAACTCACTGATTATTGAGTACATCTTTTCTTCAAGATTTAAGTAAAATGGAATTTCTTGTAAGCAACAGTACACATAGGAATTTTTTTTTAGAAAAAGATTTATTTATTTGAAAGGCAGGGTTACAGAGATGGAGACGCAAAGGGAAAAATCTTCCATCCATTGGCTTACTCCTTAAATAGCAACAATGGCCGGGATTGGGCCAGACCAAAACCAGGAACCTGGAACTCCATCTGGTTGTTTTTTTTTTTGACAGGCAGAGTGGATAGTGAGAGAGAGAGACAGAGAGAAAGGTCTTCCTTTTGCCGTTGGTTCACCCTCCAATGGCCGCCACAGCTGGCACGCTATGGCTGGCAAAGCGCGCTGATCCGAAGCCAGGAGCCAGGTGCTTCTCCTGGTCTCCCATGGGGTGCAGGGCCCAAGGACTTGGGCCATCCTCCACTGCCTTCCCGGGCCACAGCAGAGAGCTGGCCTAGAAGAGGGGCAACCGGGAAAGAATCCGGCGCCCCGACTGGGACTAGAACCCGGTGTGCCGGCACCACTAGGTGGAGGATTAGCCTATTGAGCTGCAGCGCTGTCCCATCTGGGTCTTTCATATGTGTGCAGGGGCCCAAGCACTTGGACAATCTTTTGCTGCTTTCCCAGGCACATTAACAGAGAGCTGGATCAAAAGTGGAGCAGTGGGACCAGCGCTGTGGCCTGAGAAAGAGGTAGAGGATGGCCCAAGTCCTTGGTCCCCTGCACCCATGTGGGAGATGTGGAAGAAGCTCTTGGCTCCTGGCTTTGGATCAGTGCTGTTCTGGCCATTGTGGCCATTTGGAGAGTGAACCAGCAGATGGAAGACTTCTCTCTCTCTCTGCCTCTCTGTAACTCTGCCTTTCAAATAAATAAATAAATCTTCAAAAAAAAAAAAAAAAAAAAGAAAGAAAGAGAGAGAAAGAAAGGGAGAAAGGAAGGGAAAAAAGGAAGAAAGGCAAGAAAGGAAGAAATGAAAGAAAGGAAGAAAGACAGAAAAAGTGGAGTAGCCAGGACTTGAATTAGCACTCATATGATATGGGATGCCAGTGGCTTAACCTGCAGCTCCATAAACAGCCCTGGTAAAGTCTTATTTCAGGGAACTTTTAAAAGATAAAGAGGAGAAAGTGTATTTAAAAATACATTTAACTTAGAAAATATATGAATTTAATTTTTTCTTTATTTCTCTTCATTGCTTAACTCTTCTTTGTTTTTTTTTCTTCTAGGACTGTTATGAATACCATTCAACAATTAATGATGATTTTAAACTCAGCAAGTGATCAACCTTCAGAAAATCTGATTTCCTATTTCAATGTAAGCCAAATATATAATATTATTTTTGTTAATCTTGACAAAACATTTGTAAATTAAACATCAAAGACTCAATATTTTAAGACATTTATCTCCTATCCAACATGTAGTTATCCTTGATCTTATTTCTTGCTTTTAACCCCCAAATAGATTTTATTAGCAGTGTTGATTTAATTTAGAAGGTGCTATTTTTATATTTTCTAATATTTATCATTTGTCTTGCTTGCTTTCTTTCTTGCAATCTAGACCTCACTTTTGAAATCATTTTCTTTCCTCTACAGATACATTACTTTTTAAAATTTATTTTATTTTATTTACTTGACATGCGGTGAAAGTGAGAGACAGAGACCGACAGAGGGAGCTCACATCTTCTGGTTTACTTTCCAAATGCCTACCGTGGCCAGGGTAGGGCTAGGGCCACAGCCAGGAGTCAGGAGCCAGGAACTAAATCCATGTTTTTCACAGGGGTGGTAGCAATTCAATTACTTGGGTCATTTTCTTTTGCCTCCCAGGGTCTGCTTCAGTGGGAAGCTGGAGTCAGGAAATGGAGCTGGGAATCAAACCTAGGTACTCTGATGTGGGATGCAGGAGTCTTAATTGGTAGCCCAAATACCTCTTCCCAGATAATATTCTTTAATAATTCCTTTAGTGAAGTTAGTTTGGAATGAATTTTCAAGGCTTGGTTTTGTTGTCTGAAAATATCCTTTTCCTCAATTTTAGTAAGATAACTGGATCCTTAGCTCTAGCTGACATTTACTTTCTATTAAAAGGTTAAGATATTACTTTATTATTTTAAACATACTACTTTACTATTACTTGGCTCCCTTTGTTGCTAATTAAGAAATCTTCTGTCACTCTGTTCTTTCTTTTGGAGAATTTATTTGTGTTAAAGGCAGAGAGACAGAGAGACAGGCAGAGATCTTCCATCTGCTGGTTCACTCCCCAAATGTGTGCAACAGCCAAGGATGGGCCAGGCTGAAGCTAGGAGCCCGGACTCAGTCTGTGTCTCCCACATGGGTGGCAGGGATCCAGATACGTGAGCCATCATCTGCTACCTCCCAGGGAATGTATTAGCAGAAGGGTGAATTGAAGAAGAGAAGCCAAGGCTTGAACTAGGCACTCAAATCTGGGATGCAGACATCCCAAGTGGTAACTTAATCACTGCTCCAAACACCTTCCCTGAATTGTTGCTTCTTTGTGGTTAATCTATCTTTTCTTTTCTGACTGCTTCTGTTATCTTTGAATGTGGGGGCAGCGTTGTAGCACAGCGGGTTAAAACAGCATCCCATACGGGCACCGGTTCTGGTCTTGGATGCTCCACTTCCGATCCAGCTCCCTGCTCATGCCTGTGATTTTTCCACTGTGAAAGGAGTGGAAGATTGCCCAAGTCTTTGGGCCTCTGCAGCCATATGGGAGACCCGGATGAAGCTCCTGGCCCTTGGCTTCAGCCTGGCACAGCCTTGGCTGTTGTGGCCATTTGGGGATTGAACCAGTGGATGGAAATCTCTCAGCTCTCCCCCTCTCTGTAATTCTTTCAAATAAAATAAATATATCTTTAAAAACAGATCTTTGAATGTGATGTTACATAGGACTTAATATTGGCCATAGCCCTACAATCTGTTTTTTATCCTTTATTCAACCCATTTTCATAATATGGTTCTTGCCTGGGTCTGTGTACATTGCAGTTTGCAAACTTCTAATAGACTTTGAGTTTGATACTTGAAAGATCCTGCTACCCTCCCTCCCCTGAAAAAAGGAAGAGAGAATGAAAACTAGCATCTGTATTGCTTGCTTGTTTCTTCATTCCTTATCTAAACTCAGTTGAGGGTTAGTATCTGCTGAAATCCCATTCCATGGAAACTGGATATAAAACCAGCATACTTATTAAACTTGGTTTGTTGCAGTAATTATGTACTTTTTTTTGTAGTTTACAACTTAGTTATTACCATATCCTACCTGTGATTTTTATTCTCTTGCTATGTTCCTCCCAGGAATTAGTAGTTGTACTTGTCAGAATAGTCATAATTGTGTTGGCTTAGAACTGTTTGTCTGGGGCCAGGGCCATGGCTCAATTGGTTAATCCTCCGCCTGCAGCATTGGCATCCCATGTGGGCGCTGGGTTCTAGTCCTGGTTGCTCCTCTTCCAGTCTAGCTCTCTGCTGTGGCCTGGGAAGGCAATGGAGGATGGCCCAAGTGGTTGGGCCCCTGCATCTGCATGGGAGACCAGGAGGAAACACCTGGCTCCTGGCTGTAGTGGCCATTTGGGGAGTGAACCAATGGAAGGAAGACCTTTCTCTCTGTCTCTGTCTCTAAGTGTCTAACTCTATCTGTCAAATAAAAAAAATTTTTTTTAAAAAGAACTGTTTGTCTAGCTTGGATAATATTGCATTTGTTTATGGGTTGTCTGTAACACATGAAGATTTACCAAGAGGTAGCTACCCAGTTACCTAAAACTTTTAGCAAGGGGTAATGATAGAAGCTAAAAGAATGATAAATTTCTTCCTTCTCAAAGATTATTTTTGAATATGTCCTCCAACATTTAGAATATGTAGGAGTTCTTTTTGTTTTGGATTACTTTACTTGAGCAGAAAATTCTGCTTTAAAAATTCCCAGGAGAGGCTAGCGTTGCAGCACAGAGGGTTAAGCTGCTGCCTGCCGCAGCAGCAGTCTATATTGGAATGCTGGTTACCCTGCTTCCCATGCAGCTTCCTGATAATGCAACTGGGAAGGCAACAAAAGATAAGGCAAGTACTTGGGTACCTGCCACCCATGAATGGTGTTCCTGGCTCCTGGCTTCAGCCTTGCCCAGCTCTGGCTGTTGCAGCAATTTGGGGAGTGAACCCAGCAGATGGACGATCCCTCTCTGTCTCTGTCTTTTTCTATCAGTCTGCTTTTCATATAAATAAATAAATACATAAATCTTAATAAAAAAATATTTCCTGGAGCTTCAATATAAAGCTTGACTTTTAATGAAGCTTAACAGCTTAACTCTGAAGTTTAGTGCACATCTGACAAACTGCCTATCTCAGAGTGAGTGTTCATTGAAAGTCATTACATTTTTTTTCTTTTTTTGACTTTATCAGTTCATGTGTCTTCATTTTTAAACTTGAGACCTTCCTGTCTTTCAGTTTTAGAATCTGTGGACATTTTAATGAACATTTTGGCAACAGTGATTTAGGCCTGGAAATACTTCTTTGTTATATGTTTCTAAAATTTGTGTATTGTTTTCATATAATAATATACAATTATTAATATTCTAGAATTAAATTTTTGAATGACATTGTATATGTTACATGGAAAATTATAGTTAATTTTAGACTGTTTTCTAATGTGTAATATTTTAATGTATTTGATCTATAAAGATTTTATTTATTTTTTAAATATTTATTTATTTATTTGAAAGTCAGAGTTACACAGAAAAAGGAGAGGCAGAGAGAGAGAGTCTTCCATTTGCTTGTTCACTCTCCATTTGGCCGCAGTGGCTGGAGCTGCGCCAATCCAAAGCCAGCTTGTTTCAGGTCTCCCACATGGGGCCCAAGGACTTGGGCCATCTTCCACTGTTTTCCCAGGCCATAGCAGAGAGCTGGATCAGAAGTGGAGTAGCTGGGACTCGAACCAGCACCCATATGGGATGCTGGCACTGCAGGCAGCAGCTTTACCTGCTATGCCACAGCACCGGCCCCTCTATAAAGATTTTAAAACAAAATCAATCTGTGTAGCAAATCAGAATCATGTTTATATTTTAGTAAGTTAGAATCATGCTTGTTTTATATATATATATATTAACATCACAATATGAAAAACATACTGCTATAATACATCATGATTTTCATTTTATATTTTATGTGATATGTTTTAATTATTAAAGTTGATGCAGCTTTGCCTAATATGTATTAGAATTTCTTTCGTCACTATTTTCCTATCTTGTGTTTCAGAAAATGTAGTTTAATGATTAATCCTTTTAAAAATTATTTATTTGGAGCACTCTGGCCTCAGAATCAGCCCTAAAGGCATTCGGATCTGGCTGAAAAGCCCATGAGAGTGTTTCAGGCATGGAAAGCCAAGACACTGTGACAAAAGATCTCTGTGAGTGAGATCCCAGTGGAAAGAACAGGTCATCAAAGAAGGAGGTACCTTTCTCTGAAGGGAGGAGAGAACCTCCACTTTGACTATGACCTTGTCTAAACAAGATAAGAGTCGGAGAACTCAGAGGGCTTCCATAGCCTTGGAAACTCATGACTGGAGCATAGGGAGATTACTGATGCCATAGACAGGAGTGTCAATTTGTAAAGTCAACAACAGGAGTCACTGTGCACTTACTCCTCATGTAAGATCTCTGTCCTTAATGTGCTGTGCATTGAGATTTAATGCTATAACGAGTACTCAAACAATATATTTCACTTTGTGTTTCTATGGGGGTGCAAACTGTTAAAATCTTTACTTAATGCATACTAAACTGATCTTCTGTAAAAAAAAAAAAAAAGAAATTATCAATTCCCAACTTGACTCTCACTGGGATTAAACATGACAATAGGTCTGATCTGATTTCATCATCATTTAAAAAAAATCATCTATTATTTTTCACTTTATGTTTCTGTGTGGGAGCAAACTGTTGAAATCCTTACTTAATGTATACTAAGCTGATCTTCTGTATATTAAGATAATCGAAAATGAATCTTGATGTGAATGGAAGGGGAGAGGGAGTGGGAAAGGGGAGGGTTGTGCGTGGAAGGGACGGTATGGGGGGGAAGCCATTGTAATCCATAAGTCGTACTTTGGAAATTTATCTTCATTAAATAAAAGTTAAAAAAAATTATTTATTTGGAAAGGAAGAGTGACAGAGAGGGAAAGATGAAAGAGAAAGAGAGAGATCTGTTTTTGGTTCACTACCCAAAAGCTCACAGTAGCTTCAACCTAGGTTAGTCCAAAGCCAGAAGTCAAGAATTCCATCCAGGTTTCCTATGTAGGTAAAAGGAACTTGGGCCTTGTTCATTGCCTCATAGGCACATTAGCAGCAAAGCTAGATTAGAAATATGGAGTAGCCAGGACTTGAACCAGGCACTACAATGTGGGATGTGGGTGTCTCAAGCAAGACCTTAATCCTGTGCCACAATGCTAACCCTAATAATTCTTTTTTTTTTTTAAAGATTTATTTATTTGAAAGTTAAGAGTTACACAGAGAGATGAGAGGCAGAGAGAGAGACAGAGACAGAGACAGAGAGAAAGGTCTTCTGTCCACTGGTTCACTCCCCAATTGGCTGCAACGGCTGGAGCTGCGCCAATCTGAAGCCAGGAGATTCTTCTGGGTCTCCCAAGTGGGTGCAGGGGCCCAAGGACTTGGGCCATTTTCTACTGCTTTCCAAGGCCATAGTAGAGAGCTGGATTGGAAGTGGAGCTTCCGGGTCTTGAACCGGTGCCCATATGGGATGCCGGCACTTCAGGCCAGGGTGTTAACCTGCTGCACCACAGTGCCAGCCCCCCACCCCCAATAATTCTTAACTCTTTCAAAACACAGTTTTAAATTAGAAAGCAATACCAGGCTCAGACCTTATTTTTACTTCATGAGCTTTTGGGGTATTAACATGCATGTTAATATAAATCTTAATTGGAGGGGCCGGCGCCATGGTTCACTTGGCTAATCCTCCACCTGCAGCACCAGCATCCCAAATGGGTGCCAGGTTCTAGTCCTGGCTGCTCCTCTTCCAGTCCAGCTCTCTGCTGTGGCCTGGGAAGGCAGTGGAAGATGGCCCAGGTGATTGGGCACCTGTACCGCTTGGGAGACCAGGAGGAAGTACCTGGCTCCTGGCATCGGATTGGCACAGTGCCGGCCATGGCGGCCATTTTTGAGGTGAACCAACGGAAGGAAGACCTTTCTCTGTGTGTGTGTCTCTCTCTCTCACACTAACTCTACCTGTCAAATAAGTAAAAAAATAAAAATAAATAAATCTTAATTGGAGGCATTTTATACAAATATATTATGGATGGAAATGCTGGCAAATCTGCTCTTCCCTTAGCCTAACAGCAGAAAATATAGATAATAGGATTTTTAAATTGTACTCTAATGTTTTCTGGTCGCTAACATCCACTGAAAAATCTGTGGCCTATTTATTCTTTGTAGTTGTATATGCTAAGTTTATTTTGGAAATATTACACATTTCTTATAAATAATTGAAAGTTCAAAGTCATATATTATGAAACAGCAAATGTTAATTCTGATTAATTAAATTAATCCTCAATGTTGATTTCTGTTTATACCTCTTAAAGAACTGCACAGTGAATCCAAAAGAAAATATTCTGAAAAGAGTGAAGGATATTGGATGCATCTTTAAAGAAAAATTTGCCAAAGCTGTGGGACAGGGTTGTGTTGATATTGGATCACAGGTAACTAAAGTTTATTTTTACTGGTGCCACAGTATAGAAAGGTAGCATCTCTGCAGATTGTATAAATACTATAATAGTATATGACCAATAGATAAACTATTAGCAGATGCTGTATGCCAGCTGCCTGTGTAGGCTGCTATTTGTGGGAAACTGGGAAAGCACTTTGAATTGCATTACAAAAAAATCAAAAGCACACATGTGAATTGTAATTTTAGAAAGTACAAGTAAGAAAATAATTAAAATCTTTGATATTATTAAAGCTAGGGTGTGTATGCTTTGACTTCTATATGTAGGAATTTTCACATATGTTTATACTTATGTGAATGGGAGTACACTATACATGCCATTTCTGATTGATATTACTATTTCAGAAAATCTAAAATCAGTATATTGGATAAGAATGTATAAAATCTGGAGTTACAGCCCTGGGTTTATATCTTGTTCTACCATTTATGAACATATCATTTAAGTTCTCTGAGATTCAGGTTCTGTATTCTGTTTTGTTGTATGACATTAATGAAGGTAATATATAAAAGTAAGTTTGAAAACTGTAATCTACTATACATAGTTATTCCAGTTACATTTTGCTGCCTTCAGGGTTTTAACCAACTTTTTAGTTTTATGCTCTTAATTTTGGATGAAGGAGTATGGTGTGTGTGTGTGTGTAAATCTGAAATTTAGTTATTCTTTCAACTACTAGGTTATTTGGTTAAAACTTTTTTGCTGATAAGATCAGTTTGGTCTGGTTTTTGCCTGTCCAGTTTTACTAAGTTTGATGGGTAGAGACTGTTCTTTGAATCCCAGACAGCCATTTTGGAAAGTGTATGTTATAGATTTCAAAAAATATTATATGAGGAGGGTCTTTAGAAAGCTCATAGAAAATGTATATTATGAAATAAAGCTATGCATGAATTTCAAAATTTAGGGGATACCCTTTAATTCCAATTTTCCACAAATTTTTGAATTACTGTTAAGCACGATACTCATGAAATGCTTCAGTAGTACCAGTTACTTAACATACCCTTAGTTTGAATGGCGTAACTGAAATGGAGTAAAGGAAAATCAGGTAGTGGATCTACCCTCTTGATAATTTACTGGAAATGTTAACCATCACTTTATATTGAAGTTTTTTTTTTTTTTTAAAAGATTTATTTATTTATTTATTTATTTGAAAGGCAGAGTTTCAGTGACAGAGAAGGAGAGAGAGATCTTCCATCCATTGATTCACTTCTCAAATGGCTGCAATGGCCAGGGCTGTGCCAGGCTGAAGCCAGGAGCCAGGAGCTTCAGCTGGGTCTCCCATGTGGGTTTAGAGGCCCAGGGACTTGGGCCATGTTCCACTGATTTCTCAAGCACATTAGCAGAGAGTTGGATCAGAAGCAGTGCAGCTGGGACTTGAACCAGTGCCTGTATGGGATTCCAGCCCTGTAGGCTTAACGTGCTACACTACAGCACCAGCCCCTGAAGTCTTTCTTAAGTTTAGACAAGCTAATTTGTCAACTCTTGGTAGCCTTATTTCTAAGAAAGGTCAAAAGGGTGTTTCAAAAAAAATTTTTTAAAGACTTAAAAACATTGTAATTGTAATTTTTCTAGAGTAGAGGGATCTTATTTTTTTTTCTTTTTTTGTTTGTTTGTAGCGATACAAACTTGGAGTCCGATTATATTACCGAGTAATGGAATCCATGCTTAAATCAGTAAGTTAAAAAGAATATACTTGAAATAAATTCAGTGTTGCCCCAAAGAAGGTCTCAACTAAACTATTTTTAAAATTATCTGTTTTAGGAAGAAGAGCGATTATCCATTCAAAATTTTAGGTAACTTTTTTTAGTTTTAGTATAGCATTCTTTTCTTTTTTCTAAAAGTAAAGATTTTAAAATCATTTTTTCTTTTTTTCATTAGCAAACTCCTGAATGACAACATCTTTCATATGTCTTTATTGGCGTGTGCTCTAGAAGTTGTAATGGCTACATATAGCAGTAAGTTAAATTTTAATAAATAAACATTTTGGCTCAATTTACAGTAAAAAAAAATCTTTCAGGTGTGCTGTGTCTTTTTTGGGACATAGAACAATGTGAAATTAAGGAGAAGAAATGTATACTTTAGATCAGTATATACTGAAGAATATCCTAGGCCATCATAAGCCATTTAATTGGCTTATCTGAATCATTCCATGTCCTCTTGAGGATAGTATTTTGCTAGGCTTCTATTCTGACCATGCTGAATCCAGTAAATGTGCCTACTGAAATCTCTTCCAAGACCCATAAGATTGTAAAATGCCAGAGGAGTATCCTGTACAAAAGTGGAAGCACTGCAGTAATCTCCACGGTTTTGAGAATCCATCAGAAAAACAGAGCAAAGGCTGATAATAGTGTCTTCTTTTCTTTCTTTCTTTCTTTTTTAAAGACTTGTTTATTTATTTGAAAGATGGAATGTCAGAGAGAGAGGGAGCAACAGAGAGAGAGAGAGAGAGAGAGAGAGAATGAATCTGGGGCCGGCAATGTGGCTCACTTGGTTAATCCTCTGCCTGCGGCACCAGCATCCCATATGGGCGCCAGTTCTGTCCCAGTTGCTCCTCTTCCAGTCCAGCTCTCTGCTGTGGCCCGGGAAGGCAGTGGAGGATGGCCCAAGTGCTTGGGCCCCTGCACCCGCTTCGGAGACCAGGAAGAAGTACCTGGCTCCTAACTTCGGATTGGCACAGCGCCAGCCATGGCAGCCATTTGGGGAGTGAACCAACGGAAGGAAGACCTTTCTCTCTGTTTCTGTTTCTGTCTCTGTCTCTCTCTCTTTCTCTAACTCTGTCAAATAAAAAAAAAAAAAGAGAGAGAGAGAGACTCTTTCATCCACTGGTTCACTCCTCAGATTGCTGCTGCAGCCAGGGCTAAGCCAGGCTACATCTGGTCTTCCCCACGAGTGGCAGAGGCTCGGCCAAGCACTTGGGCCATCATCTACTACCCTCCCTGGTGCATTAACAGGGAGCTAGATTGGAAGTAGTGTAGCTGGAACTTAAACCAGCACTCCAATGTGAGATGCATATGGGTTAAACAGTGATTTAAACTGCTGTACCACAATGCTGGCCCCTGATAATGGTATTTTCTTAAAGTATAATTTTAAATATGTACTGTTTTGCAAATAATGTTACAAATGCCTAAAAATTTTTAGTTGCCAAAACAAAAGAGGGACATTTATCTAAGGATACAAAAAAATACACAATTAATAAGAGAGGGAATAAAATTACTAAATAGATGTGGAAAATTTTATTTACTAACCAAGAAATACACATAAAAAATGAGATGCTATTTTCTAACTAGTGAAATTAGCAAAATTTTAAAGAATCTTTCTCTCCCTCTACTCAGGATTAATGAGAGAGTTAACATGGTTATGCTAATAAATTGCTGGTAAGATATTAAACTTGTCTATAATATAAATTTAGGATATTTAAGCTTTTGAAATTCTGATATAACCTATGAGCCTTTACTCTAAGGAAACTATAACATTCACATATACTTGAAATATGGAAGTCTATTTTCCAAGAGTCTACAGACTCATAACTAAAAATTTCTGCTGAAGATTTAGGTGGTGTGGTTCAGTGTTTAAGCCACCACTTATGATGCTGGCATCCTATATTAGAGTTCCAGTTCGAGTCATGGCTGCTCTGATTCTGATCCAGCACCCTGCAAATGTATTTGGGAAAGCAGCTGATGATGGCCCAAGTATTTGTGTCCCTGCCATTCACATGAGAGACCTGGATGGGGCTCCTGGCTTCAGTTTCACTGAACTCTGGCCATGGTAGCCATTTGGGGAATGGGCTCAAAATTGGAAGACCTTTGTCTCTATTTCTCTATCTGGGGCTCTGCCTTTCAAATGAATTAATCTTTAAAAAAATTTACTCTAAATAAAGATTGCTTAATCTTCCTACTGTGTTTTAATTCTTTGTTTGATAAGACCTTCCAAGTGAAAATACTTAGTTCAAGTCTTAACATTTCATATCTATATGCTTTTTCTTTTATTTTTAGGAAGTACATCTCAGAATCTTGATTCTGGAACAGATTTGTCCTTCCCATGGATTCTGAATGTACTTAATTTAAAAGCCTTTGATTTTTACAAAGTGATTGAAAGTTTTATCAAAGCTGAAGCTAACTTGACAAGAGAAATGATAAAACATTTAGAACGATGTGAGCATCGAATCATGGAATCCCTTGCATGGCTTTCAGTAAGTAACTAGCTAAAATAATTTAAGGTATTCATTTATATTTGGCTAACTCTCTGTTACTGTGAGGTGCTTCTTAGCATTTACCTCAAGACCAATATGCCGTTAATGAATAGTATTATTTCAGTATATAGCATGAGAATCTGGTGGAATATCAAAATGGAGTTTTATTTGAGTTCCCCAAACCACCTAATACACTGATCTGTTTAGAAATAGCTTTTCTTAAAACATAGCACTTTAAAAGGAAGGAGAATTCTTTAAAGTATTCAGATAATTTGTTTAAAATACAGGTGTTGCCTTTGAAAATGTATTATTAAATTTCAACAAAATAAAAATTTTGAGAATATGCTGTTTTAGATGATTAAAAAGCATTTTTCTTGTTCAATTTACTAGGATTGTTTTTGTTCCACTGTTAAAGATCACACAAAATCTACACTGTAGTTGAAAAATCTACACTGTAGTTGGATTATTGGTATTTTATAAAGCATTAAGGGGCATAAATCATGTTCTACCAGTATTCTGTTTGTGGGCAAGGTATTGATAAGGCGTTTATTTTAATAAAAGTGGTACTTCTTAAATAGTAGTAATAACATACTTGAAAGTTTTGTTGTGCTCCTCACATCTGGATAGTTGGATAATAGCTTGTAATTCATCAAATTTGTGATTAAGTTTTTTTTAATTGTATAAAGTGCCAACATAGTGCTCAAAATTTCAGAATTTGAAACATTTCACATTTTGGATTTTTTAATTAGAGATGCTTAAGCAGTAAAGTCTATGCAAATATTCAAAAATCTGAAAAACTCTGAAATCTGAAAAACCTCTGTTTCCAAGCAATTCAGATAAGGGATCCTCAAACTTGATTATACTAGTCTGTAGAAATGCTAATTAAAGCACTAAGACTTCAGATACATTAGAATCCTATTCTGCAATTTAACCTTAGTTTTAATTTTTTGATTTTTGAAATACTTGGTGGTTAAGATAATCCTCTCTTGGTGTTTCCTTATATTGCTATGTACACATGGTAAATAGAGAAGAGAGGATAGGAAGGTATTGCTTTGCTATTATTGAACTTGGTAACTACTTTTAGAATCAGCTTCCTCTTGATAAGAAAATGAGTGGTTGGAAGAAAACTTGCAGAATCTGAAGGATTAAATGAAAGTACCTATAATAAATAAATGGATAAATAAATAAAGTACTTATTTTCGGAAGCTTATACATCCTCTTCTCTCAAAAATTGAAATCAGGACTTGATTATATCATCTGAAATGGACTCTTCTTATTTCTTTTAAAGAGTTAACTCTATTTCCGTCCCCACAAATTTATTGACCATCTGCTCTATTCGTTGATTTGGAGTAGACATCGTAATGGTACTTTTAAAAAAGATATTTGTTAATTTGAAAGGCAGAGTAACAGAGAGGCAGAAAGAGAGAGAGAGAGAGAAGGAGAAAGAAATCATTCATCCACTGGTTCACTCCCCAGATGGCCACAACAGCCAGGGCTGAACCAGGCTGAATCCAGGAGCCAGGGGCTTCATCTGGGTCTCCCAGGTGGGTGGCAGGGGCCCAAATGCTTGGGCCATCTTCCACTGCTATTTCCAGGCCATTAGCAAGGATCTGTTTTGGAAGTGGAGCAGCTGTGACGTGAAACATTGCCCTTATGGGATGCTGGCATTGCAGAAAGTGGTTTTAAGAAGGCTCTGAAAATTGTGGAGGAAGTAATAGAAATTCACTGTTTTAAAAATGCTTATATTCAAGCCTCTTTAGTTAATGAATGGCATTCAAGGATTCTAAACCATATTCTTTTATTTTTGAGAATGGAGAGAAAGAAGCGATAGTCCTAAAGTTTGGAAAAAAGTATAGGTTTAATTATAACGGGATAATCTGGAAATCATAAGCCTCTGAATTTAGATTCCAAATGTGGTATTTCTGAGGGATGGAACTACAGATTATTTTCATTGAAGATTTATTTATTTGAAAGGTAGAGTGATAGAGACAGACAGAAAGGGAAATATATCTTCTCTCTGCTGGTTCACTTCAAAAAGGACATAATTTCCAGATCTGGGCCATGCTGAAACCAGAAGTCAGTAACTATATCCTGGCCTCCCACATGAGTGATGGGCGGAAGTACTTGGATTATCTTCTGTTGCCTTCCCAGGCACACGAACAGGAAGCTGGGTCAGAATCACAGCAGCCAGGATTTGAACCAACATCTGATATGGGATGCCGGTATCAGAAGTGGCAACTTGGGACTGTGCCGTAGTAGGTTAAGCCTCTGTCAGCAGTGCTGACATCCCATATGGGTGCTGGTTCAAGTTCCAGCTGCTCCACTTCCATTTGAGTTCCCTGTTAATGCTCCTGGGAAAGCAGTAGAAAATGGCCCAAGTGCTTGGGCCCTTGTACCCACATGGGAGACCAGGAGGAGGCTCCTAGCTCCTGGCTTCTGCCTAGCCCAGCTCCAGCTGTTGAGGCCATTTGGGGAGTGAACCAGTAGATGGATGACCTTGCTCTCTCTTGTCTCTCCCGCTCTCTGTGACTTGGCCTTTCAAATAAATAAAATCTTAAAACAATGAAAAAATAATTTTCTATTTTTATTTTTTTAAAATGTGTTTGAGAAGCAGACAAAGAAAAACTCTCATCCACTGGTTCACTTCTCAAAGACCTGCAACAGCCCCTGGCTTAGAGTATAGCTGAGACCCAGGATTCAATCCAAATCTGCCACATGGGTAGCAGAAACCCAATTACTTGGGTCATTACTGCTGCCTCCCAGGATCTGCATTAACAGGAACCAGGAATCAGGAGCCAGAGCTGTGAATCCCATCTGGACTTGGGTGTCTTAACTACTAGGCTAAATGCCCTTCTCCATCACTGTATTTTTAGTGATTATGTGGGGCAATAAGTTCAACATCCTTGCTTGACAGTCCTGAGAAATCATAATAAGGAAAAAAACACACTTCTGCCCTTTTTTCTTCCCAGAGAGATATGCTTATGTATAAGAATAAGATATTGGGACAATCTAATGAAAAAATCTAGTAAAATGTCATTCTCTGAAATTTGGGAGATTAGAAATGATTTAGAATGCACTGTAACTAAGGGTTAGATGAAATGACTTCCAAGTGATTAGACCTATGAAATTTTTTTAGAAGTTCATAATATCAGCAAATGGTAGAATGAGATTTGGATATCTTGGTTTCAGTATTTAAAAAACTTAACAGATTTTTAAAATAAATATTTATAAGCCAAGATACACCAGACACTCTTCTGTAAGTGGTCTGTCTTTCCTGAACCACTGTGGTCTCTTCCTTTTTTTTTTTTTTTTTTTTTTTTTTTTAATGGTTTCTTCCTTTTGATCTCCCATCTGCTACTTTGAGACCATTTCCCTCACAGCAGCCAGAGAAATCTTCTAATGCAGATGTTATGCCAGTTCCTCAGATAAAAACCTTCTGTGGGAGACAAGTTCAGCTACTGATGAAAGAAGAAGACCCTACCAAATGACCTCCTGTAAAATGGGCCAGTGTACATCCTATACAGGATACAAAAAAAAAAAAAACAGTGAAATCTCTGAACAGGAAAAACTGACTGTAATTGTTTAGGAGGGGAGCTGTGAGCTGGGGAACAGGCTTTTAGTCTGAGCTAAGTACAGGAGCTGAGGGTAAGGGCCATTGAATTTCCAGCAGGAAAACTGGAATTTCTGGCCAAGGAAACTTGAAAATAGAAGCTAAGGAAACCTTGGTCACTGAAGAAAATAGAAGAATCCTGCAAGGGAAAGAGCCAGAGAAAGGGCATCAAATCTGTCTACTCATATCTCTTACTGAAACCTTAATCATTCCTGTGTGACACAGAGCAGCTTAATGAAGGACAAGAGATCTGAACTGAGACTGAACTTGCTGCCCATGAGGTAGCGTGCAGTTCAAGATCAGCAAAGATAATGCCTGTTCAAACAAACAAAAGAATAATGCTCATTTAAGAAAAATGAAAGAATTTAGAATCCTTACAATATAACACTAACAGTGTCAAGGTATTACTCTAAAATTATTCAGCATTGGCCGGCGCCGCGGCTCACTAGGCTAATCCTCTGCCTAGCGGCGCCGGCACACCGGGTTCTAGCCCGGTCGGGGCGCCGGGTTCTGTCCCGGTTGCCCCTCTTCCAGGCCAGCCCTCTGCTGTGGCCAGGGAGTGCAGTGGAGGATGGCCCAGGTGCTTGGGCCCTGCACCCCATGGGAGACCAGGAAAAGCACCTGGCTCCTGGCTCCTGCCATCGGATCAGCGTGGTGCGCCGGCTGCAGCGCGCCGGCCGCGGCAGCCATTGGAGGGTGAACCAACGGAAAAGGAAGACCTTTCTCTCTGTCTCTCTCTCTCACTGTCCACTCTGCCTGTCAAAAAAATAAAAAAATAAAAAAAAAATAAATTATTCAGCATTAAGAGAATGTGAAAGGAATCAAGTGCATGTGTTTAGAATGGGAGCTAAATCAACTCTTAAAAGTCTTTTTGATTAAATCAGAAAATGCACTTTTTTTTTTTTTTTTTTGATGGGCAGTTAGACAGTGAAAGAGAGAGACAGAGAGAAAGGTCTTCCTTCCGTTGGTTCACCCCCTAAATGGCCACTGCGGCTGGCATGCTGCGCTGATCCGAAGCCAGGAGCCAGGTGCTTCCTCCTGGTCTCCCATGGGGTGCAGGGCCCAAGGACTTGGGCCATCCTCCACTGCCCTCCTGGGCCACAACAGAGAGCTGGACTGCAAAAGGAGCAACTGGGACAGAACCAGCGGCCCAACTGGGACTAGAACCCGGGGTGCCGGCACCGCAGGCAGAGGATAAGCCTAGTGAGCCACGGCACTGGCCAGAAAATGTGCTTTTTAAGTATTGTGTAAAGAAAGCTGTCAACATTTGGAAGATCCACATAGTTCAATGAATTAATATTTCTAAATGGCCTATATATCATGGTATAAAAGTAAGCATGAGTAAGAGATTCATTGAAAGGGTCGATGTTGTTCCATAGCAGTTAAAGCC